TGAACTTTCGACGAAATGATTGTCGACGAAATAATTGTCGATGAAGTGATTGTCGATGAAGTGATTGTCGACGAAATGAACTTTCGACGAAACAAACTTTCGACGAAATGGGTGTCGACGAAAATGATTGTCAACGAAATGAATCAGACCCGTTATTATGACAAGAAATCCGCAGCGGCAAAATTGATGATGATCGGCAAAAAATTTTAATAAATAATCTAAAGCTCTCTATACCGAACACCCGTCCATTATATGTATTTTCCTGCTTTTGTTCGTTATAGAGAGAGAAATAAATTATAAAAAACTGAATCAGGGACAGGGGGCAAAAGAGAAATTCGTTATAGAGAGGTTTGGTATAGAGAGCTTAGACCGTAATAAATCAATAAACTAAATACAGAAATAAATGAATAAATGAATAATAATACATGCGGAAATGAAAATTATTTGTTGAAATAAGATGTAATATTTGGTTGTATTAGTTTTCATTATCTAATAAATTCACTTTTTTCAATGATTTAAATGCTTTAAATTCTTTATAATTTATCTCTAAATCACCTTGTCGAAGAAAATCAAAAGCTCTTTCGTTGAAGCTTTAGGCATAGTGTTATTCTCAACAACTATTATATTATTAGCATCATTTTTTTGAAATTTCTTCAACTATATTTCTTGAATTTTCAATTTCATTATTAGATATTTCATTTTCCAAAGGGAGAATTGCAGTTTTCCTCTAACTATTATTATTTATATGTCATGTGAATCTGCTGTGATGAGACTAATAGCCATATAGAAAGACACCCATCAAAAATCTGTGGAACAAATTTATTAATAAAATCCGTTATGACAAGCGTTTTAATTAACATTAATAAAGGGCCAATACTTAAATCCGTTGTAACAAGAAACCCGCTGTGACGAAGTTTGACTGTAATAATAATCATATATAAAAATTTTTAATAATGGTGGTTAACCGGTTAATCAAAAAGAATTAACCGGTTTAAAAAATATTTTAAACGGTTAACGATGCCAACCCCTATTTCAGATAGTTGAGTCAATAGATATGATTGTTCTGACATTATTATTATATTTAGAAGTTTATATTTAAAAGTGCACGATAGAGTTAGAAAATAATAAATTAATTATAATAAGAGCATGACAAAAAAGTCATTATCACAATTTAAATAGGAAGAATATAAATAAAAATTCAAACATAAAAAGAACAAAGTGAAATATTTAGGAAAAAAAAATTTTTTTTGATTTTATCAAAGTTACCATGTAACTCGGAATTACTGTAATATTTTTTTTACGATGAATTGATAATCACTATACTTGGTATCTTTATTATTATTTTATATAATAGGAGTTACATGCAAAGCTAATGATGTTTCGTGCGCATAGTTCGTGGCACAATGAGCAAAATTTTTTTTCCATAATTTTTACACTTATAATGTGTGTGCGCGAAAAAAATCAATTTTACTATGAACGGCACATCATTATGCAAAAACTATTAAGCATATCACCTATAAATTTCTTTACCAATTTTATCCATTTAATGAAATGACCTTATGCGAACAATTTCAGACTTTTATCCCTTTTATTCCAGTAATTATAGTAGTAGAGATGTTAACGGTCTGATACTGGTCAGTATATACTTGGGACATTAGTCTTAAACTTCAGTCTGGACTACAGTCTTGGGACCACTCTAAATAAATAAATAAATAAATAAATACTATCTTTGACGTTTTATATCTGGCTTGTTATCTATTGGCCCACCAATATAAACACTGGTTTGATACGTTTGTAAATGCAGGAAGTTACTAGGACACGCTCGCAACACGATCCCTTATTTTATCTCCTGCTGTTCATCTAACTTTTAGAACCACACTATTTATAAATATCTAGTAAAGAGGGTATTAAACAAACATTGTAATGTATTAAGTTGTTGGTCCATCTTTAGAGATAAAAAAATTGTAAATGCTTTAAAAAAACAATAATAATTGAAAATTCCAAGAGAATGTTGATCCGGTATGATTTTTTATAAAACCTTGAAGGATGAGAGATGATTATCAAAGAATATACTCGGAAAAACGGATCTCAATATTTATTTTTTGGAATTCTCATAAAAAATTGTAATTTGTAACTTAGTTTGTAATAGAGTTTCTATTCGAATGGTTCGTAACTATAATAGCTTTGAGTATTAGAATTACATTGAATAAACAAAACGAATCAAACGAAATCATGAATAATTACGAAGATGTTTGTGTACAATGAAAAAAGCTTAATATTAAACAATAATATTAAGTAAAAAAGACCTTTCCGGTTACTTTAGATTACATAATTAAAATTTTTTTATTTATATACAATTAGAAAACTTTTAATTAGACATTGTAAAATGTTTACTATTAATATATACTGTTCATTCCTTTTTAGGGGATCAGGATAATGCCCGAAAGAAAGTGTCGGAGCGCAGTTTTTCTAACAAAAAAATAAATGAAAAATATCATGTCGTAGCTTGAAATTTTATTATCAAAATTTTTTTAATTAAAAAAACTCTAATGTATTCACATAATAAATTAAAAACATGATGGCCAGCAAAACTTTGTCGTTTTTATTGATATAATTTTTAATCAAATTTATACGCAAAGCTGTAAGTATAAGCTATACGTGATATTTATTATGTAGTATTTTCGAAAACCCGCTTTCTTCCATGTATACAATATGGCGTGCTTAAAATCATAATCAATGATTCCTTTTTTAAAATATAAATTGATATATAAATATTAAAAGACCGGTCTTAGTACCGTAAATAGCAGTAAAATTCTTCATGCAAAGCAAGGTTTTGCTATATTTAGAAGAATAAATTCAATGTGTACGATATTATGCAGTTATATCACAAAGTTACTATAACGTTTCCTTACATTTCTGGAAATTGTATTATAATATAGCTGCGGATTTCTCACAAAATGATCGCAAGTTATAGATAGTGATGTTATTATGTTTAAAGAGAAGATTTATTTATATTATTATTATTACAAAACAAAGTTATTCCTCGACTAAAGATTCTGAGATGACAAAATAAATTTTGGAAATTTATTATTAATATACTGTAACACAACAACTATGAATAATCAATAATACATTATAATCATAATAATTAAATATATCTCTATTTTTTTGACGAACAATTTTTACATTTTTTGATCATATCTTGAAAATTTATTGGTTCGAGTTTATATTTAAATGAAGGAAATTATGGCAGAAAATAAAAAACTAAATTTTCCGCTTGATTTTGAAAATAATTGCTATTTTTCACTAAAATTATTACCGATAATTTTTATCACTATTCATATTCCTCTATTCTATTCTTTAGGAATGGTTCTCGCTATCTCCACCAAATATGCAAATACTATTGCAACCGCTCTGTCTTTTATCTCATCCATGTGTCTTCTTTTAGTGAACTTGGGGACGCCAATTATCAGGCAAATTTATGTTGTAAGTTTTGACAGCACAGCCAAATTCCAGGGTGGCATTTATGTCCTATTTGGAATATATGGTAATTGTACAGAACCCTTGCCACCCTTTGAAGTTGGATGCACGAAGAGTGGTCTTGATGATGATTTTACATTTCGAATGGAAGTACAAAATTTTTGTTGCCTATGCATGCTATTGGTAATGTGTTTGCTTATTCATTATACCGATAAAAAATATTAATATTATACATATAAATTAAATTATTGTTTATTTTTTTAGGTGTAATAACATCATTCATATTGTTTTGCATTGGCATTTATGCTCGTCATGGTCATATTAAGTATAAAAGAGTGACATGGGTCTTCGCATTATTCAGTTCTTTTGTCATTTTGTTAGCAATGGGAGGACAAATTGACCTTTTTTTAAAAGCTAAATATACTGTTGAGCATCCACCATTTCATGGAGGAACTACAAAGCTTGGCGCTAGTGGATTCACTCTTGTGGTTATACCTCTCGTATTCTCATTCTTGTCAGTTTTTGCATTTTACATTGGAGGACAATCCACAACTGAAGGAGGTGGTATCGATCGTTCCAACGGTAACGGAAATATGGGCACAGGAATTACCAAACAGCCATCTGTCTCTGAATATTCTCCATCTTATTTGTATAACGATCAACAACATGCTATTTAATTTTATTTTTTTAACCTAATGCATCATAATCATCAATATAATTTTCTTGTAAAGAGTTAATTAGAGTTAATTATGGTTGGTTAGTAGTTTTAATAACACAATGTATATTTCATACAATTAAAATTTTATTATGGCTCAATTTAGCCTTTACAAACATGATTATAGTAAATACTTTATTGGTGAATCTGACCATCCTATATAGCTGTTATATCATATCGAATTTAATAAATATGAATGCGACTATTATTAAATTTCATACATGTCAATTTAAAATTTGAACGCATAACAGAAAATTGTTTGTGTTTGTTGTATGTGAAATTGAAATTATGTGAAATTGAAATATTATGGAGTGGGGTGAAATTTTGATTGGCTAATTTGAATCTCACACATGTAAATTCGAATTTCACATATGTGAATTGCGAATTCACATTATTTCATTTTCATGTACAACATGTTCAAATAAACATTACGCACACTAATACTAATTAAACACTGACTGCTAATTTTTGTAGTCCTCTGGTGAAACCAACCAGTCGCTCAAAATTGATTAAATTATTTTCTCCGAGAAAATGTTAAACTATTTCGCATGTACAACAAAATTAGATCAATGCAACCATCATTTCTTCTGAAAATAATAATAATAACCGAATTTCAAAGTGAATTTCTACTCTTGCATGAATTGAAATTCATGGAAAAGATGCTATAAAATTTCTAAAGGGATTTATCATAAACAATATGCCATTGGTACCAAACGGAGGACATGGTTTTTATGCAGTATTTTTGAATGCAACTAACTGTATGATTTATAAAAAGTCTGAATTCTTTGGATTGTTTTCTATGACAATTTGAGAGACCAATAAAAGGTTTTTTTGATACTTACCTACCCCAAAAACATTGGTTCAGCCTTCCACATTCAATGTCCCATATTGTTTGACTGATTATGCAAAATATCAAAATCTACACAAGAATTATGACATTGGTAAGGAACTGTGACCCAGCAAATTTTCTTTCTTTTAATAAAAAAATTTATGCAAATAAATCAATAATTATTATTTGTCAATCATATCCAAATCATATATACTACAATGCAATTTCTTAAATAGGGAAATTCTTGCTCCTAATAAAAAAAAAATGAATGAAGGTATTTTTTTCTTACACAGAAAATAACTATTTTAAAAATATGTAGTATTTTTTACATCA